CAATACAACATCTCTAATATGTTCATTCATATGGATTCGGTTTGTTTTTATCTGTCTAGACATATTGAACTGTAGCTTCAATTGACTCACGCTTTCAACTATAATAAATACTAAATCTCCACAAAACCCCTTCTATAATTAATGTAAATTTGTTGTTTACATATAAAATGGGAAAATACTTTACCAAAAATGTATTAATTAAAAATAAACTTCATTTCATTAGGATGATTCTTTGTGAAGTGTTCAGAGTGTTATTGTTAGGGTTTATGATCTTATAGTAAGTATTCAGTGTATTGTTCCAATACTTCCATAATTCAAAGTTGAAATCATGAGTCGATTGAAGCTGGACCACCATCGAAAACCTGGAAGCACTGGACGGCCGTTTTGTCCTATTATGCGACTCCTCAGCAGTGCGCATCCACGATCCCGCACCAGCGAGACTCGAACCCAGGACCTACCAGTTTCGAGCCGAAGCCCTTAACCGACAGACCACTGAGCCGGCATCCAACGGTGTTAATGTCTAACTTAATTACCTAATTATTATCAATGATATATTTGAGTAGATATGATCTTAGCAACGATATGCATTTTGTGGTGATGAATTATTTATTATTATTTAAACACATAAATATTGGTAGAAAGGGGCACCAGATACATATGAGGCACACAAATCACATTTGATTTGTGTGAGGGCTCTGATACTGCTAGCGTACCCAAACCGAAGCAAGTGGTTTTCTTAGGGGGCAACACCCCGAGCCTTTCACCTAAAGGTCTAGCCCACAAAACAGTGGGGCATCTTGAGGAGATGCAGTCCCATGGTAGCCGGTGACCAACGATTGATTCATACGCCATTTGTTCCCTCAAGATACTGGAGCCCATGTGGACCATCAGTTTGGAATCAGGTTTTTCCAACTCTCCTAGGTGGACCCTCCGTGTCCACCAACCCGGTCAAAGCGTCGGACATTCGTTTTAGTCCTCTCAATTTCGTAGACAACATCCAGGAGCGAGAAGGCAGTGAGTAGGACTTCCCTGACAGAGGCTATATATGCGTGGCCATGTGAGAGCTCTTCGAGAGGGAGAGCAGGCTCTCCCTACTCTCGGCCGTATCAGGCATTTGGGGGGGGGTGTTGATGAATAATCCATACCGATCATCCATTCTAATACCTTCATAGATTTATAGTCTAATATTTACATCGGAATATTCCCGTATATACGTTCACCCAGGTGAAACGGTTTGTTGATTTCAACTTGGCTATCGATCAAGTTGCAATGTGGCCACTAGTCCAGGTGGTTCGACACTGTGTGCACTATGTTGAGATAAGATGATAGTTGGAGGTGGTCAACAGGACGCATGACATTGATCACCACCCAGTGATCAATCAATTGTGATTGCGTCTCAGTTACGGCCCGAATAGCTCAGTGGTAACGTCTCTGACTGTGAAGCTGAGTGACATGGGGTTGGATCCGTCAGGGAACACTATTTCCCTCAAGATTACAGATGCACCTTGCTGACTAGTGTCAAGTAGCACGAAACCCGGATCCAGGGTTTCCTGTTGATCACCTCCAATCACCAACTTATCTCAACCGGTTGTTTGTTTCTTGAGACGTATTGGAATGAGTGAGTGTGTGCGAATAGAGCATTATGGACATACTGCAAGTGGAACAACTAATCAATATATCACCGAACATTTTGTGCTTGACTGCCGATGTGAGCACGTGACAGATGATAGTGTCAGTGGTCGGGAAATGCTTGTTGATGTAGATATAGAGGTGAGTGTCATGTAGATTGGCGCTAGATGTGAAAAACCCTCCCGCGCCGCCTGGGTGAAAGCCAGGAATCCTAACCCACTAGACCACGAGGGACAATGATTTGTCCAACAAAACTACATACATCATCCACTCATAATACTGACATGCATATACACGATATGTCCACATAATACTACAATCAATATCAACATCACCAACACATACGCAACAATATTCACCACACAATCATCGTGAACTCATTATTCCAGCATACTCATCACCACTTCAACTAACAACACACCCAACAACGCCATTGTCATCATCAACACCACCATTATCATCGTCATCATCTTTATCAACAACGACGGCAGCAACATCGTACTCATCCACGCATACCCACCCACACACACACAAACGAGTTACCACCGCATTTTCATACACAACACCTCACACTATCTGGACTGAGAAGTCAGAGTTACCGATTTAACTACACCAACCACGCTAGGCTTCATGACAAAAAAGGAATACGACGCCGCATATCTCGTCTCAGCAGTCACTATCCTGTTCTTCTGGTCATTCTACTAATACATAATTGACGATAACTCAACGCAAACGACACCGTACACTGACTTCGCATTTCGTGATTATTATCAATAGCAATACAGCAACGAATATCACCCGTTGATGCAGTCATCATAGTATGGCTGGATAATTTTTATCACACATAAACTCCAGTTATGTAAATTCGAATACACTCATTGCTAATCGACGATATTTACTTTACTGCGGTTTGTCAGAACACCATATTTCACTTAGTATTGTTTGTTTGAATCTTCCCGTCAATGTGCTAGGACTGCGACTAGTCAGTCTCTGATTGGCATATGTGCATACTGTGCGTATTGCCTCGATATTGCCTTAATTCACAAGCATTATAAGCAAAGATGGATAGATTTCACTGCTAGCCACTATCCATCTCTGCTTATCATATTTCACTGTTCTTTATCCTCATATTCAATCGGCACCACAAACCGATTTCTGTTATGTTCTACCCCACTTATTTCCACGATCTATTCCGCTATCATACCCATATACAATTTATCAATCTATTTTCACGATATTTCGAATCGCCCATGCAAATATGTTATTTTATCATCCAGACAGTCACGACATAAATGCATGTTAGATTTTTTTGTACGCTTACTAATCTACTCATAATACCATGGTAACATTTCTATTTTGTCCGCATCTTGACAATAGTCATGTTCATTTTTATATAAGTATGACACATTCGTTTAATACCCTCAACCCTCATTTGACACTGTAATTGATCAGGTATTGTGGATTTTTTCTCCGTACATTTTAACACTATTATTCACATACCACCTCAGACATTTTCTACAAAGGGGCTATGTAGTATCGGTTGTTATGTTAAGCCCATATGCCTTATTCTAGCTTCTGGACAAGTCAATTCACCTGTTCATCATGAGTCATGTTTTCACCTTGTTAATCATTGACTTATTAACCCTGACCATTTTTATATGAGCGTAGGTGTGTGTACACTTCTTATCCTATTTATCACATATCTATGATTTATTCTTGTCTGACTCTAAATATTGATTAACGCTTGATAAAAGTGAGTTGGCCTATCCGCCATCTCCGATGCGTGTCATTTTTGTTTCGCTCTCTGATATTTACTAATGTGCTTATAACTTTCTGACCTGCGTCATTTGTCAATAAAACTGTAACTGCTGCTTCTCTTTGCCTTCTGATTTTATGCACCGTTAAGATTTGTATTATAACGGTTATCGAGGAGAATGATTAACGAAGCACGGCACTACGATCTTCCTCAATTATAAAACATTCGGTTGAGACTGGTCATAAAGTCGATATCAAGTCAGCCTTTATAGTGTTGTACAAAAGCCTTCAAGGGCCAACACTAAGGTTTATTGAAGCCTTGGGTACACGGAAACTGAAACCCTCTAAATGTTCAAAAACAATTTGTTCTTACCCTTAATCTATCCTGGTAATACTGATTTATTATTCAAAGTGGTTATCATATTGTTTTTGCGTACTTTATTTCTCTTTGTTACGACTTGCCTTTAATCTGTCTAGTTGATCTTTTTATTTTTTAATACACAAGTGATCTTAACAACTATATATGTGATCAGATTGTTCGAAATGCATTATGCAAATATATCACATACTTTTGATATACTTCGTCTTCTCGTTGTATTATCGAAGTTTATCAAAGAGATTAATTGTCTTACAAGTACCATATTAGGAAGAAACAGCTAGCCAATGCTCCTCGATTCTAAATGGTGACCTAGCTAAGATTATTTTGTGATTTATACTATGACGATTATCTCCATTAATAAGTTTTTTCAAATCTAAATTTTTTTAAAAACAGAGCAAAATCTCAATGTTTTTCTAATAAAATTCCCGATAATGAATCAATAAAAATTGAGCTTGAAAGTAGTCATCGTGGATACGCACTACTGAGGAGTCCCACAATAGGACGAAATGACCTTCAAGTGCTTTGAGGTTGTGTATGGTGGTCTAGCTTCAAATGACTCATGATCTCAACTATATAAAGTTGCATAAATATTTATCAAATATGTTCAATTTATCTATGAAGTATTGAGATCGTAAAAAGAGTAATAATGACCTTTATTTACTAGGATTTACAAGTTAAGTAATCGTATCCACTTGGTATCCTTTTTACTTAAATCTTCCCATTGATGTTTATGATTGTAATTGATCAGTCTCTTGTTAGCATATGTGCATCCTGTGTGTATTGCCTCGATATTGCCTTAATTCACAAGCGTTATAAGCAAAGATGGATAGTGGCCTCCTGGATTCAACTGCTAGCCACAACAAATTAGTGCGTGAAGGTGAAATATTATTATTATAACTTTTATTCATTAGAATTTACACATAAAGTAATCGTATCTTTTTGATAATAATGAGATTCTTCAGTTTCATTTATGAAGATAAAAAGATTCTTTCTAATTACAATTGATTGATCACTGGGTGGTGATCAATGTCATGAGTGTCAAGTCCTTCTTAGTGCTGATCGAATGCTATCGATCAAGTTGCAATCTGGCCACTAGTCTAGGTGGCTCGACACTGCGTGTACTATGTCAAGATTGATATGTCTTGTGGGTTGAACGCTTATTCAGATCCTAAGCTATACGGATAACCCCAGGCTAGCACTACTCAGCAACTTGAAGACCAGAGAGAAGACACGAGTAGCAGAGAAAACCTTTACTGCAAGGATCATTTTTGTACAGAAAATCGTAAGTATTTATAGATGTTTGCTTAAGTTAAATCAACATCCTAATTCAGCCAATCCAATAAACGACATATATTGCTACTGACCAATGGTAGCGTGCCACGTTGGAACTCCAGAATGTTCTGTCGTACTCTGATTGGTTGGGACTCTTTTTGAGCCTCTGGGGGCTCTGTTGGAGTTCGCGGGAAGCCGACTTAACACCTCCCCCGAATAAGACTTCTTCCTAGGGTCAACTTGTAGTTTGGTAACTGGGTTGCGACGTCGTCCCATTATTCTCGTCATCTTCCCTGTCCACGGCTTCCTTTCAGTATTCATTGGCGTTTGTGGCGTTGGTGAGTCTAAGATTAAATCTAACGGAAAATTCGGCGGGTTACTTCGATTCTGCATCATTCTTTTGTCTTTAAGGATTTGATTTGTGTGTCGTATGCACATCCCAAAAGTTCCTCGAACTCTGTACAGAACTCTTCCCAATTTTTGTACGACTTCTCCTGGCTCCCATCGGTTCTTCCCGATGTAGGATTTAATGTAAACTTTGTCGCCGACACTGAAGTTCCGAATACTTGGATTGTGACTGCGCTCATCAACTAATTGGGATGGCAACATGGCATTGAAGACGGTTCGAACACGTCTTCCGAACATGTCTTCCGCAGGAGACTTGCCGTCCGGAACATTCGGATTCGGAGTGGATCTGTAGGATGTTAAAAATTTCGTGATCACCTGCCCAGTCGGCCCTTCGCCTCCCCCCTTCAGTAATGCTCGTTTAAAAGTGTCCACGAAGCGTTCTGCTTGTCCGTTAGATTGTGGATGATAGGGTGAAGAACGAAGGTGAGTTATTCCGTTTGCTTTACAGAAATGCTTAAACGATTCTGCGGCGAATTGCGAGCCGTTGTCTGTTACTAAGGTCTCTGGTACTCCAAAACAGCTAAACAGGGTAGACAGCTTGTAGATTGTTTCTGAGGTTGTACAATTTGGCATGGTATATACTTCCGGCCATTTAGTAAATGCATCTACGATAATTAGAAACATTTTTCCTTGGATTGGACCAGCAAAATCTGCATGAATTCTTTCCCAGGGTCCCGCTGGCGTAGGCCAATACTGCGGTTCGCATTTCACAGGATTTTTAGCGGCTTGAATGCATGATGGACAGTTACGGCATTTATTCTCGATATCTTTGTCCATTGACGGCCAATAAGCATAACTACGAGCCAACGATTTCATTTTATTTATTCCAGGATGGCCATTGTGAAACTGCTTGAGAACCTTGTGACGTAATAACTTCGGAATAACGATTCGATCACCGAACATAATACACGAGTCAACAACCATTAGTGAGTCCCGTCGACGAAAATATTGCAAAAGTTCTCCGTCAAGGCGATTGTTTGGCCATTTGGACGAGAGATAGCATTTGACTGTGCTCAGTATCTTATCGCATTCAGTGATCTTCTTGATAGTTTCAAAGGTTACTGGGAGTCCATTGATTGCGTCATCCAATACCCGATGAACTTCTTCCTCGGCTTTTATACTTGCTACAAGAGTCTCCTCTGGGGTTTTTGATTTGGAGCCTATTAATCTTGACAATGCGTCAGCTTGTCCGAAGGCAGTAGTAGACTGATACTTTATCTTGAAGTCGTAACCAAGAAGTGTGGTTGCCCATCGTTGGAGTCGGTTAGCTGTATGAACTGGAATACCTTTCTTTGACCCAAAAACTGCAAGTAGTGGTTTATGGTCTGTTATTAGAGTAAAATGTCGGCCATATATCATCTTATGGAACTTCTTCACTGCAAAGATAATTGATAGGGCCTCTTTTTCAATCTGACTATAGTTCCTTTCGGTCGTTGTCAAAGATCTGGCAGCGTGTGAGATAGCTTTTTCAGACCCATCAGGAAAAATGTGAGAGATAACTGCACCCACACCATAGTTCGAAGCATCTGAAGCGACGACTATCGGTAGAGAAGGATCATAGTGTGTCAATAAAAGATTGGAAGTCAGGAGTTGCTTGATTTTCTCGAAAGACGCTTGGCAGTCTGCAGACCAATTCCATCTCGTATTCTTTTGTAATAGGTTGTTTAGTGGAGAACGTAGACGATGGAGATCAGGGAGGAAGGTACCATAATGGCTGACCAACCCCAAGAATGATCGTAGGGTGGTAATGTCCCTGGGTCTAGGCATTGTTTTCACCGCTTCAATGTTCTCTGGATCTGGTCGTCTTCCGTCTTTATCTATTATGAAACCCAGGTACCGTACTTGCTGCATATAGAAGTCACATTTTTCCGCTCGGAGTCGAAAACCATAATCGGCTACGCGTTCTAGTACCTGGTCTAGTTTCTTCTGCAGGTCCATTTTATCTACTGCCATAATTATGATGTCGTCTAAGTAAGCTGCTGCCCCTGGAATACCTTGTAACATGGTATCCATAATTTGCTGAAAAATAGAAGGCGCTGTCTTCACCCCAAAAGGTAGTCGGTTATACCGGAACAGACCTTTGTGTGTGTTGATCGTTAAAAGATCTTTGCTTTCATCAGATACCGGGATTTGAAAATATGCGTCTGATAAGTCCAATTTCGCAAAATATCTGCCACCGTTCAGCTTAGCGAAAAGATCTTCTGGTAAGGGCAACGGATACTGATGTGACTCTAGAGCTTCATTTAATCCTGTGGAGTAGTCTGCACATAGACGGACACTTCCATTCGACTTCTTGACCACCACTATTGGTGCAGCCCAGTTCGAGAAGTTCACAGGCTCGATAACACCCATTTGCTGAAGTCGCTGTAATTCCTGTTCGACTATTGGAAGGGCAGCATAGGGCACAGGTCTTTTAGGTCGAAAAATGGGAGTAGTTGCAGGCTTTAGAGTTAGCACTGCTTTAGCCTTCGTGCACTCGCCTAATCCTTCTTGAAACACGTCTTGGTGTTTTTGTAGCATGGCATTTTTCTGACTCCACTCTGAGGTGTTGTAAGTTGTGATTCGATTACAGATACGGTTAATAGAGTGGTCTGCTAGGTCAAGTGTTTCTATAAGATCCAACCCCATTAAGTCGAGTGCTGGCTTCTTTGTAAGATACACTGTTGCATTTGTTGTTACAGCATTTTTAGACACAATACAAGGTATCTCTCCAACAATGTTTAACTTCCCACCTGATGCACTGTGTGCTATTTGTGTTGTTCGATGCACCGAGGGTCGCCCAATCTTCTTCCAAGTTTCTGGACTTATCAAAGTAATATCAGAAGCAGTATCAAGCTGAAGTCGAATGCGATGTTTATTAATATTCAAGGTTACGTACTTTCTCTGGCGGCACCTTCGAGCTTTGTTATGTGATACCAATATTCTTTTCGTTAATGCCCCAGACCTGTATTTCTTGAAGTAAGATTTTGCAAAATGTCGTTTATAGTTTCTTTTCCTGCAGCTGGTTTCTATATGGCCCTTTCGATGACATTTACTGCAACAATGTTCTTTATACGGGCAAAACCTCTTATAGTGCCAGCCTCCACATGCCCAGCATGGAGATGATGGTTTGTCACCGTTATTACGATAATTAGGTGTGCTGAAACCTTGCAAGGATTTTCTCTTGACTGCATTGACATTATGGGGACAGTTACCGTTTTCTACCATTGAAGTATCATGCTTCAAGTTCACTAACCTTTGGCACTCGGTAGTTACTTCCTGTAGGGTCATGTTAGGGCAGTGTTCAAGTTTACTTAGGATTCTGGTCCGGATATCAGCATCATCAGGAGAACGCAGGCTGCAGATAAATATTAAACATTTAAACTGGTCCTCAGACATGGACGATAATTTGAACCTCTCGCATTCACGGTTCACAGTTCCTGCATGTTTCACCCAATCATCTCCAGATTCTTTCGTTAACTTTAAACACTGATAACGGATATTAAATAAAGATGATTGCTCTCCGAAAATTTGGGACAGGGTTTTGACTGTTTCATCAAAACTAAAATCTCGTGGGTTCTTCGGGAGAATGAAGTTGCTGTAGCGTTCATGTTCCACAGTCCCCAGTTTTCTGAGAAGTATTCTGACTTTCGAAGCATCATTCAGGTTGCAAAGATCAATATAAAACAAATCTTCATACTTCTTAAACCACGACTCAAAAGTTATACCTGCTACACCATCAAAATTGAATTCATGTATGGCGTTAATGACTGAATCAGTATGTGGTACTTGTGATTGACTGGAAGCAGGGTTTCTCTCGGACAGGAGTAATTTCTGCATCAGGGTTTCCATGATTCTAATTTGGGACTCTTCAAACCTCTTTTCTTGACGCACCATATAGGCTTCTAATTGCTCCAGAGAAATATTCATTGTCATTTTCCCGTCGCCACTGATATGTCTTGTGGGTTGAACGCTTATTCAGATCCTAAGCTATACGGATAACCCCAGGCTAGCACTACTCAGCAACTTGAAGACCAGAGAGAAGACACGAGTAGCAGAGAAAACCTTTACTGCAAGGATCATTTTTGTACAGAAAATCGTAAGTATTTATAGATGTTTGCTTAAGTTAAATCAACATCCTAATTCAGCCAATCCAATAAACGACATATATTGCTACTGACCAATGGTAGCGTGCCACGTTGGAACTCCAGAATGTTCTGTCGTACTCTGATTGGTTGGGACTCTTTTTGAGCCTCTGGGGGCTCTGTTGGAGTTCGCGGGAAGCCGACTTAACAAAGATAAGATGGTGTTTGGAGGTGGTCAACAGGAAACCCTGGACCCGGGTTTCGTGCGACTTGGCATAAAAATAATACGATATACCGATTATTTAATGTTTCATATTCATTCATTTACTTATCAAATCAAATTAACATTTTCCATTAATTATCATTCTAAGGCGAGGATATTGTGAATAAAATTAACCAAAAACTTGATGGAGCTCTACAAATCATAGTCCTAGCTGAGAAAATGGCTTTGTTTTACATAAGGCTATGTGTAATAATTCAAGTGAAAGTAAATAAATATCTAACGTATGTCATTTTCAACTCTTTATATTAATTTATGTGTGCGTTCTGAATCATATACGTTGATAGGAGAGAAAGATAGGAGTTCTACTCGGTTTCTTAAACATATTCTCAAAGATCTACACCTTCTAGGAGAAAAATGACTCCTATTTCGATCGCTAAACACGGAGCACGAAGCAGACTGAACGAATTCATTTAAGGTGTTAAACTTAGGTAGGATTAAATATCTTTCAATAGTATACCTAAGAATACGTCTCAATGGTTCTAGGAAAAGCTTCACTATTCATTGTACATTAACCATTAATTTTAAACTAGAAAATTCAAATTAGTATGAGCTTCTATTAGAAATTAAGGACATTTTACGGATGAACTGAAATTGTTAACTGGAATTAAACTTCCTAAAGTATCTCTTCTCATTAAAATGTTATAAGTATCAATATGTTTAAATAGATAACTATAGTGAAATTAATTTAATTAGAATTAAATTAGTTTACTAGTCTACAAATATAATTAAATGTAAGTAATATAGTAGGAAAGTACATTTATTAGGAAGAAGAACAAAATAGAAATGATCTGTTTAGTCACCCAGTAACAAACTTTAAAATAATATCTATCAGCTTATATATTGTAGTTTAATATACCTATTTGAGAGATAATACATTGATTAGTGTAAGAAAGCCAAGTTCATCAGTTTCACACATTTTTACGTGCATCTAATTCTAATTTATGTAAACTGTAAAATTATCAACTTCGAGTTTTTTTTCTAAGTTGATGTTTAAACAAAAGTCAATGTCGCAGATTAAAATAGTTTATAGTTCTTCAGTCTATTGTAATCTGTTTGTTTCAAACTGATTATTCATGTACTGTTCTTTTTGTAACTCCGCCTGTTGCTCCTCCGGGGATTACTGCCAGTCGGATCTACAACGCGTCAGTGAGAGCAGTTTTGCTCTATGCTTGTGAAACCTGGCTTCTCCGAGTTGAGGATGTTAGACGTCTCTCTGTGTTCGATCATCGTTGTCTCCGAAGGGTTGCTGACATCCAATGACAACACCCTCTTAGTAATGCAGAGGTTCGGCATCGTGTGTTCGGGCGCAGAGACGATGATTCACTTGGTGTCACCATCTTGAAACACCGACTTCGGTGGCTTGGACATGTTCTACGAATGTCGTCTCAGAGAATTCCACGTCGTGCATTATTTGCCGAAGCTGGGACTGGTTGGGAAAAGCGGAGAGGAGGTCAGTGTATGACATGGTGTCGTAGCATGAAAGAAAGCTGTAAATGGCTAGCTTCTGTTGGTCCTTCACGACTCCCTGGTTGGGTTCCGGGAGATGATGCAACACAGTGGCTAGAGACGTTATCAGATATGGCTCAGAATAGAAGCCAGTGGCGATCCTGCTGCAGCCTTCTTTTACCTTCTTTATAAAGAGTGGTTATAACTTTCTTAACTGAGAGAGTTCTTCTGGTTGTACATTTTAGTTCCCCCCATCATTACTCTTCTCCTTTTTTTTTCTTTTATATATACGCATCTTCCCCCTCCCTCCTCCCATTCTCATTATTTTGTGTGGCGCATATCTATCTGGTGCTCTTTTGTACAAATATGTATGTTTCGATAATGTAATAAGAAGACGAAGATTATCAGAACTATGTGACATATTAGCGCAATACATTTCGAACAATCTGATCACACATATACTTGTTAAGAACATTTATATATAAAAATAAAAGGTCAACTAGACGGGTAATAAGGTTAAGAAATAGACAAGGATAATAATGATAAAATAATGTGAAAACAACTTGACACCTAATCACTCTGGATAATAAGCATTTATTACCAGGGTAGGTTTAAGGAGAGGACAAACTGTTTTTGAATACACAAAGGGGGTTTGAATTTTCGTATGGCTAAGGCTTCAATAAACCTCAGTATACGCCCTTTTACACTTTTAAACAACACAACAAAAGCTGAGTTAAGATCAATCATATGACCTGTTTCGATTATATGTTTAGCAACAGAGGATGATGGATGTTTATCCTCTACTCTTATTGGGTCATTCGACTGTATTTGTTTTTGCGCTAATGTATCACATAGTTCTGATAATCTTCGTCTTCTTATTACATTATCGAAATTTATCAAAGGGACTAATTGCTTTAAATATGTATGGGGACCATCTTAAATGACAAATTGAAATATGTATGTGTTTAAATAAAATAAAATAAAATAAAAATACTGCCAGTCCCAAGCCCGGATAAAGGAGGAGGGTTGAGCATGGGATTAGCGACCCCATCCCTTAGAAAGATAACTCGCTAAGAAAACGCTAATCAGGAAAATGAATTCAAACCATTTAAACTCTGCTCTGGGATTTGAAGGAAGAATTATGACTCCTTGTGACGAAAGTCGAGTTTCTTCGGAAGTCATGAGACCGATGCCCCTTTTGACAACCAGAGCAACAATTTTTATAAGAATGAACAAAAATTGGATATAACTAGAAAAGAAGGCCCAGGACAAAGTGGGTTGGAGAATGCTGGTCGGCGGCCTGTGCTCCATTGGGAGTAACAGGCGTAAGTCTTTTTGTACTTTATAACACACTACTTAATAATAATCAGTAAATCAAGCTAATTTCGATATTTCTTTAACTAACGCTTTGTAATCAGTTTTGATCTGACAGACCACGGCGAGACTATAATTTATGAACAAACCAATCAGATTTACGATAACCTGTCTTGGAATTCGGCATGAACTTTTTTATGCATCCTGCTAAATAGTGTCTTAGCATTATAGCTGATGTCAGTTCGTAATGAAAACCCTAAATCTAATCCCTATCCCTAACCATCAACTGTAGATCACAATCCTTATCTTTCACACTGGTTTACGACCCTCATTTAGCCCTAGTCAGTAGGTGGACATTCTCAAGGTCACTTTGGTGCCACTCGAAGGTTTTCCATATATTATAGTCTCACTCAGACCAGGTCGATTGTTTTATTTCGAGTTTCCATTTTTTGTATTCACTGGGTTTCTCTGCACACAATACTTTATGAATCTTTATTTATCTTGAACGATTTCCTTAATTTTTCGAAATTCAGTGACCTTTTTAGGTTTACATTATTTACTGATATTATTGTGTAGAAAGCAGAATACTGTATCTGACTTACTGTATGCTTTTCAATTTTTTATCTGATTGGTTGAAGGCCACCATTTTATACTGATTAACGTCGCACTTAATCCCCGGACACCGTGATTCAATTTTTCTATTACTTATTGTTTAGATAGATTGCTGAACAATATCGATAATCGATTGAAATTAAGTATATAACCTATCGATTGCTGGCTTAGTGGTTGAAATGTTAAACTCTTGCTTTGATACCTGAAAGTTGAAGGTTCGATCCAAGATAGTGTCTTAATTATTGACTGTTGAAGAATTCTACTTTAGGATAAAATAAGTGTTCTATGTTTAATGCTTTCAGTAGTTTTCCAACTCGGGTCGGTTCATATTACTAACAACATACTTTATATATATTTTTCAATAACAGTACTATAATTCCAGATAAACTCAGTCATTTGATTTCAAAATTAGCATATGAAACTTGATTATTTGTTTATAGTTCTTCAATGGATATAAGGAAATCATTTAATCATTTACCTAGTGGTGATAATAATATTCAAAGAGAAGGTTGGAATGAGATATGAGAAATCTGTATTTAAACTATTTTAACCCCCTTTAAATTTCTTAATATTTCTAGTAACATGATGATTTAAGTAGACTTGGTGATGATCCATTTGTATTATTCAAGATATACTATAGTTATCATTCTAACTAACCCAACAGTATTTGTCTTTTATATTTCAAATTTGAAATCATGAGTCAATTGAAGCTAGACCACCATAGAAAACCTGGAAGCACTGGACGGCTATTTCGTCCTATTATGGGACTCCTGAGCAGTGCGCACCCGCGAGATTCGAACCCAGGACCTACCATAATCATATGCTCACTAGTGACTGACTTCAAGATACATGTCCTGGAGTTCTAGTGGGAAGCAGTGATCAGTGGAGTTCAAACCACATCTGTTGTGAGATAACAACTCACTGAAGGCAATTGGTGAACGGTTGCTCATAATTCGTGGATCAGTTGAAATTAAACATTAACACTGTCATTTGGTTCCAGGTTTTCGATGGTGGTCTAGCTTCAATTGACTCATGATTTCAGCTTTGAAATATACTGAAATCTCCACAAGTCCCCTTCTGATTTGTCTTTTAATTTTCTTCCAATTTTTTTATTATTGCAACTTGAGTGGATGTTTGGTATAAGTATTACTTATCAACTATCCAATTTCAATGAGAATGTTTTATCTAATTTTCAGTCTCTAAATCTGGCTTCAAAAAATTCTTGAAGTGTTACCAAATTACTGTAAAAAGAATGATAAGATTACAATTTTAAACCCTGAAAACTGAAATACAAACTTCATGTGTGAAAATAGAATCGTAAATATTATGTAATCAAAGTTGAATGGAAAACAAACTTGTCATGAGAACAAAAATTTGATTATATGTTCTGCGAAACAGTTGATGAACTTTAAATATAATATTTTAGCACAGAAAAAAAGATGCAATTATGGACTTTTGGGAAACATCACATAAAATGAAATATTGTCGCATCATACTACTGAATAATTGCAAGTAGATAAATATGATTGAACTATATTTCTTTCCACACTTTGGTCATTGGATAAATATGATAAGAAAATTAATTATCATCACATTTTGTAGATTGTAAATTTGAATCAGGTTTCTCTGATGAATTAGCTTTCAGCTTTTCTGGTCTTATCCAATTACGAAAAGTATGGTTAGTACCACTTGTATTACTATTACTTAACGTGAAAATACTTGTCCATTCACATGTTGTTTTTGCTTTTCTTTTCAGATTACTAGTAGTTGTAAATGTGAGTGCAGCTCCTTGAGCACTACTAACTAAACTAGCTACACGTCCAATTAATGGGACGTCAGGTAAAAGACTGGCTAAAATTTGAAATATCCATACAATACCTAAAATAATCGATAGATTAAAACATATTTTCAACATTTTTCGACTTTGTTTTGGAAAATCATTAGTGTCTGATTCACTTCCTATACCTGTTGATATATTCAATTCATTTTGACTGAGAAACCAAATATGAGTTCCAACGATGATCAATACAAGACAGTTGAATGCTAATAAAACTGTAGTTGGCGCCAGAAACCATAAGAAAAATGCTTCATTTATTGTAAACCATGGTCTTGTACAATCCTCTGGTGGACAAAATCCTGGTGTCAAATAGCTCAATATTTTTTGACTTTTTGTACATATTGATTCATCTACTTCATTATTTAACATTTTAGCAACATGCTGCTCGTGTATACATTCATTGGGATAAGTTTTCTCATTGATGATAATAGCCGGTATCACAAAACAGAACGGTAAGATGATTGAAAGTAAAGAAGAAAAGACGATGCTTTTCATTGAATTGGAACCACTACGTTTCGCTGATTGAATGACCATACTCTATGGGGAGAATGAGAGAAAAGTCAATAACAGTTTACAATTTATAAGGACAAGTTATAAATATTCAGTTGTGTTGTTCTAGGTTCTTCATGCTCAATGTAAATAAATCATGCATCGAAATCATTTGGGGAGTTATTACCAACCTACAAGCAATATATATAACAATTTAGTTCTATACTTGTAAAATTTAAAAGTGTTCACTCCTGACTTCAGAAGGGAGAAAAGTTTGAAAAACAAGAAAAGTACCATTAATTGACAGGCAAAAATCCAGTGATCTTTACCATGCAACTGTTTTTGCATTCATTATATAGATGAATCACTACTTTATGGTATCATTCAGTTTCTGTCTCATTATCTACTTGAATAAATCTACAGATCAATGACTTTTATTGAAACTGCAAACTATTCATTAGGAAATGAGTCGCTAATTTGTACTGTAGTGAACAAGAACACTAGTTAGGGACAATCAAATGTATTTAAGCACAAATTACAGATTATCTCACCAAATTCTGATAACCATACAGTAAACAATTAATTTACAAAATAACAATCAATTGTCTCAATTCTTCACTATTTCTTCTGTAAATATCAATTCATCTTCTCTAATTTTATTTTTCATGCATTTTCATACCGATTGCGCTTCATTCCTATTCTTTTCTTATCGATCTTCTGCCAAAATACATTCTATGTCTGATCATCACCATATATTACTTATATGGATATAAGTAAACCACACCACAGTACTATTAACAGAATTCCATTGAGTTTATCAACTTATATGAGTATATCTACAAATACATTAAGACAGGTATTCGTAATATATAATTTAGAGCGACTATATATGTTCCTAATTTACTGCATATATAAGTATAAATAGTCAGACATTTTTATTTATTACAAAATGAACATTAAAACTATCTATAGAAGTAATCTAAGAATAAGCTTTATAAGATTGAAAGAAAGTATTGTGAATTTTCTAGAAACAAAAAAGATAGACTATACCCTTACATATTTCATAACAATTTATACATTCAATTTACTTAAATATTACGTATCTTACTATGAATGTCAAGGTCAATGTAAATAGTACTAATACCTAATTAATTATTCTTATCATTGTTTTTCTATTCATTTCTATTGATTCAATTGAACCATTCTCATTCTTTCATATCTAACTATCATATTGAATTACTATGTTATCCTTTTATTTTCAATGTTGAGTGCTTAGATGTCTGATAGTTCAAACAGATATTATTATATACATGAATTTGAATGTCTCTTAGAAATATATCCCTGGTATGCAAAGATGGATAGTGGCTAGCAGTGAAATCTAGGACGTGCGTTTCATCCTATTTGGGACTCGTCAGCTGGATGTACCTGCATCTCGGAGTTGATGTTCACTCTGTGACTCGAACCCGATACCTTTCGCTTCAAACGAATGCTTCAGGCGAGTCCCGAATAGGACGAAACGCGTGTCCTGATTTTTACTGCTAGCCACTATCCATCTTTGCTTGCCATGCTTGTAAATTTAGGCTATGTCGAGGCAATACGCATAGTATGCACATGTGCCAATAAGAGACTGACCAGTTGCAGTCGTAAGCATCAATGAGAAAATCCAAACAAACAATATTAAGTAAATATCCCTGGAATGTTATATATATATATATATATATATATATATATATATATATATATATATTAGACATATCTGTTGACAAATTGCATAATCAATGAACATGAACATTTAGTTTGAATAATTTACTACTTTGGATATAAAACATATTTATCATATTCTACAATGAAAACATTAAATAAAGAATAATTTTATTACTATTGTGGTGTGGTTTACTCATATTCATATAAGTAGTATATGGTGATGGTCAGGCATAGAATGTAATTCACTAGAAGATTGATAAGGAAAGAAACGAAACGGAACAAAATTGGTATGAAAATGCATGAACAATGAAATCAGAGAAGACGAACTCATATTTGCAGAAGGAGCAGTCAAGATTGAGACAATTGATTGTTATTTTGCAAGTTAACTGATTGTCAGATTTTAGTAAGATAGTCTGTAATTTTCGAGTGAAGTACATTCGATTGTCCCCACCCTTGTTCACTACACTATTATTGGCTTTATCCTATATTATATTTCTTGTATAATATAGAATTCTCAGCACAATGTATTTCAACAAGTTTCTATTTCTTAATTTTTTAGTCGATACTAACGATAAATATTAAGTGACGGCCAGCTAGATGTCAGCAGTTCATTAAGTTGACATAGAAATAATGTACAACCAGCAACCACCATATCTCTGATTGGGCTATTTTATAACTTGTACAACGAAAGGTTTTACACATTTCAGAAACGCACCTTAATATTTTATGCGGTTAATAGCCATAATGATGTATTAAAACAAACAAAAATACATATCTTGTTGAAATATCTAGATGTCAGGAACAGGTAGCCCAAATTTTCAAACAGACCGCCAATTCGATATAACAAAAATTATTTCTATCCATAAATATGACCTTAGAAAAACAAATCTATCCATTTTGTTATAAATTTTAAAGAATGTACAGTAATTATTGATTTTGGTAGTTTTTTTTCTTATTAAGGTAAGTTGCACTTTACATAAAAATTACATAATAATCTTTGTCTGTTCTAAAGCTTACACAAATGTCAATAATGTTATTAGAACAAAGAATACTGTGTACTTTTAGAATAATCAGTAGTTAATTTTTCTAAGAAAAACATGTTTGAAACTTAGTTAACAAATTAAGTATATGACTAAGATGGATAGTGGCTAGCAGTCGAATCCAGGATGCGCGTTTCGTCCTATTTGGGACTCATCAGCTGGATGTACCTGCATCTCAATGTTGATGTTCACTCTGGAACTCAAACCCAGTATCTTTCGCTTCAAACTCCATCTCGTTATCCACTCGGCCACTGAGTCCTGATAGTCATTTGCTTGTGCAATAGGATGAAGCCTAAATTCATTTAGTATTGTTTGTTTCAATCTTCCCACTGATGTTTAGGACTGCAACTGATCAGTCTCTTATCGGTATATAAGCATTTTGTGCGTATTGCCTCGATATTGCCTTGATTCATAAGCATTGTAAGCTGACAAGTCTCAAATGGGACGAAACGCGCGTCCTGGATTCCACTGCTAGCCACTATCCATTTTAGCTAACAGTAGATTTATCCATTATAATTATTTGTACACCATAATGTCATTTCATTTATTTAATTTGTCATTAGAATTTTATAAAGTATCTAAAGTATTTAAAAATTAAAAAAAAACTTTGCGTTTTTCTTAAAACCGTCTAAAATTCTTTAATTGGTTTTTGTTAAAGTAAACTAAAATTTCATTATTTATGCTGACATTAACATTTCAAAATACATGAAATAAAGGACATTTAAAATGAAGTAGGTATCATTATAAAAGTTTGACTTGGTAATTTCGAATAAATTGACCATTAGGTAGATTGTTATAAATACGTAAATATATATGTATGTATATGTTATAGTTGAAATCATGAGTCAATTGAAGCTAGACCACCATGGAAAACCTGTAAGGACTAGATAGTCATTGAAGTTAGACATTAACATCGTTGGATACCAGCTCAGAGGTTTATAAGGGAAGCGCTCGCGCGCTAGACTAATAGGTTCTGGGTTCGAATCTTATGAGCCGGGATCGTGGATGCGCACTGCTGAGGAGTCCCACAATAAGACGAAACAGCAATTTAGTACTACGAAGTTTTTCATGGTGGTCTAGCCTTAATTAAGTCATGAGTACAACTAGTAAATTATCAAAATCTTCACAAAACCCCCTTCTTATATATATATGTAATATCCCAATGAGTTGAAAAATTAAATTTTCTGACGTTTCGTGTCTCAGAGTAATTAATTCAAGTCTAAATAGTACACAAGAACAACGAAATATTCTTACTTTATTTATTTATTATAAGTGAAGAATTAAAACCTAAATACATCACCAGTTGAAATTTTCAACAAATTTTGCTCAACTTCGTGTATTAATTGGAGTAAGACATAAACACTATGGGATGCCGACTCAGTTGTCTAGTGGTTAAGTGGTCTGGCGAGAGACTGGTAGGTCCTAGGTTGGAATCTCGTGAGGTGGGAACGTGGATGCGCACTACTGGGGAGTCCCAGAATAGGACGAAACGGCCATCCAGTGCTTTGAGGTTTTTTTTGCATGGTAGTCTAGCTTCAATTGACTCATGCTTTCAACTATGAAAATTTTTACACTTATCAAAAGATAGAAACATAAATCGTATTCATTCTATACATAAATTTTGTGTATAGTTTCTAATGAATAGATTTGATAAATTCATTTGATGATTAAACTAATCATTGTACAATAAATTTTGATTTGTTTAACAAAACCGGAAGTTAAATATTCAAAGCATAATTATTGTACTAATTTGATCTTATAAAGACAGTATAATATAGTGGTAATTCAATTTTGTAGTTATAACTTCCGGTTTATTGAAATACTTCAGCTTATACTACTTATAAATTCATTATTGAATGATTAGTGAAATTCAATGTTTGTTTATTTTTCATTTAATGCTTAAAGAAACTATAAGGTTTGGCAAACTTGTACAACTTGAATACATTTTGTAAACACGCAAATATATGATTTTCTTGAAACTTTAAAGTTACGAAATGAAAAAAAGCTGTATACTACTGTTATTAGTAATATGCTGTAATACGTAATTAGTTGACGTGTATTTAATCTTTCACTGATAGCTTGTAATAGCTTAATGGTATTTAGTAAGTCCGTAACAAACTTACTTATACCTTTTACGCTCGTAAAAGAGGAGAATAGATCGCCTACCAGCATTCATCATCCAACATTGTCCTGATCAATTATTTTCAGTTGTTTTTAGTTGTTAGTCATACTTTTCACGTCAATTTCCGGTTCCTGATGCAGTGTGATTTTTCGTCTTTCTCTCTTCTGTTTCCACTTAGCATT